TCTCGAGTGTTAACACCCGAACTTACCGTCATGCATCACATAATATTTTATATGCCAAAACATCATTTTTATTGTACAAAATTATATTTACATTGTTCATAATTAATTGGTATTAAAAATAGGATTTCATAGCTCAAAAACCATGTTTTCTGAACAATAATCGATTAATATATGATAGGAAAATCGATTAATTGCTACTGGCTTCAATTTCTTCAGTGGAAAAATGCAATAATCGATTTTTATACTTAATAATCAATTTTTATAGTATAAAAATCGATTTTTCCTCTACTGGATTCGTTTTCTTCAGTAGACGAAAGTCTAATCGATTTATTTATGAAAAATCGATTTTTTATTGTCTTCTACCTCGAGCCAACTTTGGGAAATGTCATTTTTGGTTACCAAACTTCAATTAAAGTATATAGAAAGGTTCTCCAAAGTTCATAGATCATTTTGGTACGATTAGTTCAAAGTTTTAACAACGATTTCAAGGTTTATGATTCTTGGTTCTTCAAACATGTCAAACACTAAACTCAACCAAATGACCATTTATGAACGTAGAAACGACCTATATGAACATTCTAGTCATTAGATATATCTACGGGCTTACCTCAAAGCTAAATGGAGGTTTTGGAAATTTTCCGGCGAAACTTCCGGCGAGGTTTGTGACCAGCTCCGGCGACTTCACACCAAATTGATAGCACAACTTTGTTCTCCACACTCACAGCTTTCTCTCAGAGTTTATTTGAAGGAAAATGGTGAAGAAATGGGAAGGTTGAGTTCCCTTATATAATGAGAAGGAAGAAGAAGAAGACATGTATGGTGACTCCTTCGATGATTCTGCGATTGGGCTAGTGCGCTGGGAGGCGCCGTCTGTATAGTTCCCTGTTTGGGACTAATTTTGGTCTCAGTCGGGGTACACTTTTTGGTCCAACTTTCTCCGAATTGAAATCCGTTTGCACCGTTGCGATTGGACAATCAAGCTCTATTCAACGACATAGGTTTCGTATTTATTCGTTATACTTTTTCCGACATCATATTTTTGGGTGTATGACTTTGATAAAGTCAAAATTGATTTAGTTGATCTTTATTCAAAAAGGGTTCTCACATTTAATTAATATCATTTATTCCATGATTTATTTTAATAAATCATTTTAATATTTACATCACAGGTCAATTTCTTAATTTATTCTTGATTCTTGATTTGAGTTTGTGTTCGGGTTCCCAATCCAGGTTACACAAATAGTAAACATATTGGATTTATCTCTATGAGATTTATCTAGATTGTGATATTGGACTTTAGAACATATTTCATATCGGGCTCAAAGCCCAATAATAATTTATTTTAATCAAAACAAATTTGTTTAATTAAATATTTAATTCAATAAATTTTAGGGTATGTTTTGGGGCATTACAAATAATCTTTTATTTAAGTAATCATTTATTTGAATTTTAATTTTTGTAGATGAATATTAAAAAAATTACAAACATTTGAAATACTCCCTCCGTCTGGTATTAAAGTTTTTGTTTTGACTTTTGGTTATTTTTAAGGGAGGTTGACTAACCCTGTGAAATGACCGTAATACCCTTAATGAAAAAAAGAAGGGAAAGAAAAGAATGGGGTGTGTGGGCTGGGAAGGGATAAAAAGAAAAAGAAATTAAAAGATGATTGCGAGTGAGGAGACATTACTATTTAAACATAGTGGTCTACATAAAATCAAACACTACACAACAATGATTAAAAACATTCAAATACATTAAAATTACACATAAATTTAATTCCCTCCAGTTTTTTTCCTACCTGTCCAAAAAACCCAATCTGCTGGATCCCTCCACTGCTTATATAAAAGCAACCACTTTCCCCTTTTGGGAATCTTCATTCTTGTCTCATCCTCTTCTTCTTCTCCAGCCTTCTTTGACAGTTCCATCTTCTCCTTCCTTTTCTGACAATTTCTCTTCTTCTTTTTATTTTTCTCTTTCTCACATTCTGGATCCCTGCACAGACAATGGAAAATCCTAACATGAATTCCAAAAAACTTGACAAAACATCAAGGCAGCTTATTAGTGAAGGTTTACTTAGAAATTTAAAACAAAATACAGATGGGTCGTATTCAGCTCAGAGAGGGCAGATCAATAGCCTTGCTGCACAGTTTAATGTGTCAATACAAACAATTAGCAAGATATGGATCATTGTAAAGAAACAATTGGAGCAGGGGGTTGACGTTGATGTGAGAAGCAAAATGGTAGGTCATTGTGGAATAAAAAGGGCCGTAATGGATGTATAGGCTATCACTGATACCCCCCCCTCAAGAAGAGGGATACTATCAGAGTATTGACAGCAGCAATTGGCAAGCCAAAGTCCATTGTCCATGAGTGGATAAAAAGAATTGAAGTATGCTTAGGAGTCATACAAATGCTATTAAACCATACCTTACTGCTACTAATAGACTTGCTAGGTCGAGATTCTTTTTAGATCAAATAGAACCTTTGAGTTTGCCTCACCAACCTATATTCAAGACTTTTCACAATTATTGCACATTGATGAGAAGTGGTTCTTTATGACCAAAATCTCTCAGAGATTTTACCTTCTTTTTGAAGTTGACCCTTATATGACATGCAAATCAAAAAGGTTCATTACAAAAGTCATGTTCTTATGTGTGGTTGGTAGACCACTTCTTGATGATAATGGAGTTGTTCTATGGGATGGTAAAGTTGGCATTTTTCATTTTACTAAAATTGTTCAAGCCAAAAGAATGAGCAAGAATAGGGATAAAGGGGTGTTGGAAGTAAAACCAATCAAGGCAGTTACCAAACAAGTCACAATTGACATGCTTATCAAAAAAGTTATTCCAGTTATCCAAGAAAATTGGCCAAGACATTTATCAAAGAACATTCATATTTAACAGGATAATGCTAGGCCACACATTCAAGGTTTGGACTCAGACTTTGTAGGTACAGGAAACACTAATGGTTTCCACATTACTCTAGGTAACCAACCCCCCAACTCCCAAGATTTAAATATCCTTGATCTTGGGTTTTTTCAGAGCCATCTAGTCATAAAAAAACAATGTGCTCCAAACACAGTTCAAGAATTGTTAGAGGCAGTTGAAGGAGCTTATAATGCTCTAAATACAGAAACTTTAAATAAAGTTTGGTTGAGTTATTAGAAGGTAATGGCTATAGTCATGGAACAAGAAGGAAGAAACAATTATAAGCTACAACATATGGGAAAAGACAGACCGGAAAAGGTTGGACACTGCCTAAGTCCCTTCACATAGACCTAGAGCTAATTGTGAAGACAATAAGAGTACTTGGAGAAGGAAATGGGAGTACACCTGAAGATATGATTCAGTTCAACCCTGAAGAGGAAGAGAAATATCTCTCTTCAGAGTTGAACTGAATGAAATGGAAACAACAAAAAGGTTTTTTAGGTAAGGGAAGGGCTTTTGGTTTTTGGGATGGTGGCAAGGAGTGTATTAGAAAGTGCTTGAATTTTTTTTTTTGCAAGTGCTTGAACATATGTAGATATGTACTCAGAACAAGACAACAACAGAACCTGCTCTATATGCAATTACAACATCCAGCATATCTTACCTTTGTTTACTTAATACAACATCATCATTGGTGAACTTAGACAATTCACACATACACATAAGTTGCAGGCAAAATGCTCATTTCATAAGTTTTTGTCTTCACTAGATAATAGGAACACATATTAGGTACTCAGAAACACCCACACATGGCTAAGTGTTCATCATAGTACATTTTCCTTTTCTTAGGAAATTTCATTAGAGTAATTAATGTGTTTATAACTTCAGGAATTACTAACAGATTTTAAGTACTCAGAAAAAAGCCCTCAATACTTAAGTGTTCATCACAATACTTAAATCTAGTATTCACATAAAATAAGAACACAAAATAAGTACATAGAAAAAGCCCTCAATACTTAAGTGTTCATCACAGTACATAAATCTAGTGTTTACAGAAAATAAGAACACAGAAAAAGTACTCTAAAATATCCAAAATTGGTCAATTGTTCATCCTAACACATATTTCTTTCTTAGACTAAGTAGAGTAAATTGTGCATGAACAAGCATTCATCACATAGTGAAAGGAATGCAGAGAAAGGATGTAAAAGTACTTCCTTACTAATACTTCGAAGCCCAAAAGTTAGGGTCTGGACTAGGAAGTAAAATGTTCAGCATATGAATGTGGAGGTGCATGCATGAGTAGATCTAGGAAGAATTCTCAATTGGAGTGGTATCAAATCCCTCTGTGCCATCACTATTAGTTTCAAGAACTATGACCTCAACCTCCTCGCTCCCTAGATGAATAACAGAGTCGATTTTCGAGGTAAGGTCGAGGTCAAAGCTGTAGAGGTAGGCGCCATCTACAAACTGGATTTTTGGAATGCATGATTCGTAAAGAAAATCATGGAGTTCCAATCAAAAGAAGAAGGAGCTGAGTAGATCTATACAGATCTAGATCTATGAAGAAGAGAAGGACAGATAACGCAGAAGTAAATAAGGAGAGGAGGCAAAGAAGTAAATGAGGAGAGGAAGGGATAGATAACACATGGAGTAAATGAGGAGAGGAAGGGAAAGATAAGAAAATGGGGAGTGGAGGTGGGAATTAGAAAAAGGTTAAGGGTATTTTAGGAAGAAAGTAGGTTTAAAATCAAAATGTAAACTTTATTTCCGAACAGAGAAAAAGGAGAAACGTAAAATTTATTTCTGGACAGAGACAGTACTATTTTGTTATCATTCACTCTCTTTTGTTTGTGAAATATGAAGTGTAAATTAAAGTACGTTTTAAAAGTATTTTTGCATTTAATTATTTATTTTTCAATTTTTTATCTTTCTTTATTTGAATGTACTTTCGATTTTTTTAAATAAAGAGTTTTATACATTTCAAAATGTAAACTAGGGTACGTATACATATTCATCCAATCCAAATATTTAATTAAACTGATATCGAACCATATCCTACCGATACTTCAGGATCGAGATTGATAAGATATAAAATCTAATGCCAAATTGAAATATTTAGTACTCCCTCCGTCCCCCTGTATTTGTTCACTTTCATTTTTACACATCATCCAATGCACTTATTTAATCCATTTTATCTTGTAATTTGTATATTAAAAATGGAAAAAGGGAAAATGGGAAAATGGGAGGGTCATGGGCAAAAAAATCAGAAATGCTACCAAACTGGGGGGGGTTCCACACTTCCACTTACATCAATCCGGTGGATTTGAGGAGGAAACCTGAAGCATCTTTTTTTCCGGCCTCTTTCATCTTCTTCATATCTTTAACCAGCTTTCTCCCATCCATTGATCTCGCTCAATAGCAAGGCAGGCGAAGATGTTGTGGGTCGACAAATACCGCCCAAAAACCCTAGACAAGATCACCGTGCACGAAGACATCGCCGAGAATCTTAAGAAACTGGTAAAGATTATAGTTTTCGCTGCTCCCATTTTCATTTTCAGTTTATTTAGGGAACTGTTTCGAGGAAACACGTCGAGTTTCGCTCTCCAATTCCTTTTTATAGGTTACAGAACAAGATTGTCCGCATCTACTGTTTTACGGGCCATCAGGTTCCGGCAAGAAAACCCTAATCATGGCCCTTCTCCGGCAGATATTTGGAGCCAGTGCGGATAAAGTAATTCCTTCTCATTCTTACCTGTTCATCCATGTTTTCTCGAAATATGTTTAGTTATTTCATCTGTTCATTGGCTGTGCAGGTGAAAGCTGAGAACAAAGTCTGGAAGATTGATGTAAGCTTCCTTCCTTTTTGTGCTTTAGTAATTAGGGTTTTTGTTTGAGTGTTGAATTTTGAAGCAACATGAGATCAAAATGGTTGAAGCAAGTGGAAATGTTTTTTATCTTAGCATCTCAATAATATTTTTTTTCTTTAAAAAAATAATGACATTATCACACACAAGACATTGCAAACATTGGTCGTTTATCAGGTAGTCTATTCATCATTATCATTATGAGTTATGTTACAATTCAATATTCAAGACATTATTTTGTTAAACAATAATTTTTTCAATCATCACTAATAGTGTATTCCCTCTGTCCCACAAAAGTTTTTGCACTTTTGTTTTTCTTCTGTCCCAAAGTAATTTTCACACTTTTTCTTTTTCTATTTTTTGGAAGAGAATTTTTGGTCCAAAAATACTCTTTTTCTTAACCTCCGTGAAGTCGAAGTGAAAAAACTAGTTTGGGACGGATGTAGTACGATAGATTGTGGCAAAAGCTTGTACTCATTTAGGCATGGTTATTTGCAGTGGAAATGTGGAATTGCCTTTTGGATCATAGCAACCAGAAACATTGTTTATTTTAGTAATACATTAATGATTTCTGTCTTAGGCTGGAAGTAGGACCATAGATGTAGAACTCACAACACTGTCAAGTACACACCATGTGGAACTTAGTCCCGGTGATGCTGGTTTTCAAGACAGATATGTTGTTCAAGAGGTAATAAAAGATATGGCAAAGAATAGATCCATTGATACCAAAGGAAAGAAGGGATTCAAAGGTGATTTTTCCAATATTTTCTCTCTATTTGCAAAAGTAGAAACATAGACATGGGTGTGGACATGAATTCCTTGATTTTTGATACATGGGCAGTGCTTGACAATTTTGTTCTTCTTCTGATATTCTTGCTACATTATTACTGTTCATAACAATAAAAGAAGCTAGGCATCTTTTACATTGTTCCTTAAGCTGATTGACATTTCAAGTTCAACAAACAGCTCTTGATTTGTATGAAAAGTGATTTTTGAGAGAAACTATGATCTAAAAAGTAGTATGAGGATTGTGAAAATGGCTATTTTAAAGAATATGTGGTTGTGAATTGACCACTATGTTTTCACAAAGGAACCCTAAAATATCCATCAAGATGCATGCTTGAATACGGATAGAATTTAGAATGGGACAAGGATCACTGAACTGGATCATAAGGCACTTGGGTTGAACCACATTAAAAGATTGAATTCAATCGATTACTTAGTTCAACTCAAGAGCTTATGTACCCATTATTTTCTTCACACTTTTCCGATGTGGGATACTCTTTAACATTCTCCCCTCAAGTGGACGAACGGACCATTTTGAATTTAACCGGTTGACCTCTTGCAAATGGACTCCCATCGCCTTGATTTTTTTAGCGCCAATACCTAAAAGACCACGAGCCGCTAGGTATGGACTTCCAGACAAGCAATCGGATTAAACGGGCTACAGGCTGTGGGTACATACTCCATACAGATAACTGGGCTAAAGACTAATGGGCCGCTAGAAATGAACATCTAAATGGACACCTTGACAAACAAGGTTGGCCAAAACCTGCTCCGATACCATGGTAGAATTTAGAATGGGGTAAAGGTCACCGAACTGGGTCATAAGACACTTAGGTTGAACCACATTAAATGATTGAATCCAATCAATTATTTAGTTCAACTCAAGAGCTTATATGTTCTTCACACTTTTCCGATGTGGGATACTCTTTAACAAATACAATCATCACATATTTCACGTGGTTGGATGATATTATTTGTTATTTGATTCTAGTGCTGGTGCTGAATGAAGTTGACAATCTCTCAAGAGAAGCACAACATTCTCTTCGAAGAACAATGGAGAAATACAGCACTTCATGTCGTCTGATCCTTTGCTGCAATAGTTCTTCCAAAGTTACAGAAGCTGTCCGTTCTAGATGCCTCAATGTACGAATAAATGCACCCAAGGAAGAAGAGGTTTGTATTGTTCTTCTGTCTGTTTGTTCTGTTTCACATCATTTTTTAGCCTCAATTTGTGAATGAATGCGCCTGAGGTAGAAGAGGTCTGTAATGTTCTTCTTTCTGTTTTTTCAGTACTTCAACCATACCGCATTACTCACAATGTAGTGTTCATTTCACGGAGGTTAATAAATGTTAAATTGTTTGGTTGAGATTTATGTGGAGGAAAGAGAAATAATATGAACCATACAATGCTTTCCTTCAAAGGAAATGAGAACGTTATATAGGAACTACCCAATTCGTCCATTGCTTATGGAGCTAAAGGAGTCATATTTATTGAGATATCGCTTAATCAATTCTAGTACCTACTGAATGACATCTTAATTGCATCACAGTTAGAATGAAAATGGATTTTAATGTGTTTATTTTTTGTTTAGTACAACTTTGAATATTGTGTAGGATTCATTCTTTTAAATACGGAGTATGCACCTTAGAATGCATATGGACAAGAATGTGTGTGTGTGTGTTTCTTTTTCATAGGTGTGGGTGCAATAATGGTATATTCACGTTCCACTTAAATTACGTAATACATCAGGCATTAAGGTTCCTTTTTTTTATACACTAAATTTCAAGCTGCCGTTGTTTATAGGCATGCCTTGCAAGAATTAAAAAGAGTAATGATATTCACATGTTCATTTATCCGTTGGAACTATAAATTGTAGAATTTGCATACTAGTATTTGTTAGCTTATTTGATGCTTCTAACGAATTCTCTGTTTAAATATCGTTTAAATATTATTTTAAGAAATTTTGCATTATTTTAATTTCTGTAAGTATTAATTGTTATACAAGTGTTAGCAGGTAAGTGACCCTCCCATTGGAGTTTGTTTTATTTGATGTTCTAACCTTCATGCTCATCCTTGTTCTTGGGGCAGAACTTTTTCCATGATTCTGTTTGTCGATATCTTCAGTTTTTTTTACTTCATTGTTATTTGAAATACACTTGACTAAATGTTTAATAGTGGTAGTCTGGTAGACAATTGAAGGCACCTTTCGTGTTTGAATCTGTATGTGCCTTACTAGTATATAACATTAAAGACTATGCATGTGCATGTATACATAGAGCACTCTTATGTGTTGCCCTTACGATTTGTAGTTTCAAAAGGGCACTCTTTTGCTTAAACTTTTTTAGAGTTTCTATAATGTGTATATTATGATAAGTATCTGCATATATGACAGATCGTAAAGGTTTTGGAATTTATTGCTAAGAAAGAAGGACTTCAACTCCCACCTGGATTTGCTGCTCGTGTAGCAGAAAAGTCAAGGAGAAGTTTGAGAAGAGCAATACTGTTATTTGAGACTTGTCGTGTTCAACAGTTAAACTCCTTAACATTACAATGTTGCATTCAACTACTTGAATTAACATGTGTTTACTCTTTATCCTATGTTAGTTCTCTGACAATTTTTTTCCTTTTCATTATTTTATTTTTTTGTGTTGAAGGTATCCCTTTACGAATAACCAAGCAATGCCTCCAATGGACTGGGAGGAATATGTTGCAGAGGTAGCATCAGACATTATGAAGGAACAGAGCCCTAAAAGGTTGAGTTCCAGGTTTCTAGTCCATCTTAATGCAAGCTACTGAATAAACATGCATATTTCTATTTCATGCATATTTTTAGGAACTGGACTGGACTGGCTGCCTGGAGACCGGCAAACCGGATGCCGTTCCAGTCTGGTTGACCCATGTGGACCATTTCATCCCGTCAATCACTACCTACCGGATGGAACCATCTGGGGTTTAAACAGAACAGTTGAACCACTCTGGCTTTTCCACTAAAGTTAGGGTAGAGTTGGACATGGGACAGGTTATCGAAGGTCCAACCATATTTTAAGTGGGCTTGTACATAAAAATTAAGGCCCAAAATTTGGGCCTTGGAGAAAAAGAAAAGCATGTTTAATACATGGGTCTGTTTATTGATAAACCTTTGATACCCAAGCCTCATCCAGCCTATCCCGAATTTAAGCGCTTCAAAGATATACAAAATACAAATATACAATATTATGTAGGGTATATGCATGTGAAATGTGTGAATATATTACGAGGCCTAATAAGTTTTTTTTAATCAAATCCTACTCCTGGACTGTTTTTTTTATTATTTTAATTTTTTCAAATATTTTCATATTTATGAATTTTTAAAACATATCTATTTTAATATATTTTAGGCAATATTAGATTGAGCCTTGGGCACAACTTTTTTGTGGGCGGGCTTGGACAAAATATGAGGCATACTACTTTTTTGTAATTATAGATCTAAAGCCCAGCCTAAACCCATCCAAGCCAGGCCCATGTCCACCTCTAAGCTGCAGACTAATAGGAACACACAGTGTAGGGTTCAAACTTCTAACATCGTGCAACTGAGAGCCACCTTTGACCAACAGAACAGAAGTGGTTTTTAATTTCTGATGTAAGATTGGTGTTCCTATATTTATAAAGTTCACCGCTCTCACTATTAAACAGATTCCAAGTTTCCAACACTTTTTTCCACTTACTAACACTTTCCTTACACTTTCAAGTAAAATAGTCAATATAATTGTGGGCCGAAAGGAGTGTGTGTGTGTGTGTAGGTCAGGGTATATAGATTTTTTCAACCAAGCTCAAACCACTGGTCAACTGTTCCTAGTGAACCAGTGCCTTGATTTGTTCGGTTATGAAAACTATGATTTTATGATGTCTTGAACTTTTTTGAATCATTTAAATTCCTTTTAAGTTAATATCCTAGAGTACAATATATTTGAAGTTGGAAAATCGTTTCTTCTCTTATGATGTTAATCTCAAGATCTGCCTGGTGGTTCCTTAACTTGTACTTTAACATTTTATTGATTGAAACTCTGTAATAGGTGAAGCTGTGAATTTCTTTTCAGAATTTGGTTTTTAATTTCTGATGTAAGATTAGTGTTCCTATATTTATAAAGTTCACCACTCTCACTAAACAGATTCCAACAATTTTTTTTCAATTTTTAACACTTTCCTTACACTTTCAAGTCAAATAGTCAATATAATTGTGGGACAAAGGGAGTGTGTGTGTGTGTGTGTAGGTCAGAGTATATAGATTTTTTCAAGCAAGCTCAAACCACGGGTCGACTGTTCCTAGCGAACCAGTGCCTTGATTTGTTTTGAACTTTTTTGAATTATTAAAATTCCTATTGAGTTAATATCCTAGAGTACAATATATTTGAAGTTGGAAAAATAGTCTCTTCTCTTATTATGTTACTCTCAAGATCTGCCTGGTTGTTCCTTAATTTGTACTTCAACCTTTTATTGATTGAAACTGTAATAGGTGATGCTGTGAATTCTTTTTCAGAATTTGTATATGAAAATAACTTTAATGGAAGGATCATTGCGTATTATAAACGATTTAATTTAACAATAAAGCTATGCATTAATAAAAATGTTGAATACTTTGAAAAAACAAAAGCACCCATGTTTAATTACGAAAATAAATGATGGGAAGAAAGCACAAATTACCACCATTTTTGTTTTTGGATGTGTACATGCATGAAGTTATTTTAGTTTAGTCTTTGTGTGGAATTCATTCCTTCATAAATTGAACCTAGCGTTGCATATTGTGCCCTGCTTAGTCCTATTTTAAAGTCAACTTCCCCATCACAGGTTGTTTCAGGTTCGAGGAAAGTTGTATGAATTGATCTCTAACTGTATTCCGCCTGATGTTATTTTAAAGGTGATTCTAATATGTGCTTCTTTATTATTCATATGTTGCAATTAATAATAAAATACAAACAAAGAACTTGCCATTTACACCCATTCTTTTAATTTCAGAGGCTTCTCTTTGAACTACTGAAGAAATTGGATTCTGAGTTGAAGCATGAGGTTTGCCATTGGGCCGCGTACTATGTAAGTCTATTGTTTTCGCCAATGGGGTCTATCTGCTGCAGAATACTGTGTTTGGATGTTCAGAATGTGTCTTACTGCTGCTTTATTTGACCATTCCTAAAATCTATATTTGTTGTCTTCTTTGGAGTCTTGCTTTCGAAAATTCATTTTATTTGTATAGTTTTCATAAGTTATAAAATGAAATGTCTACGTGCATAAATACAAAATTTCTTATTGAAGTCCAAGTTGGGGGGCCACAATTCAAGTTTAAAAAGAGGTTAAATTTCCATCCTACTATCTTCGTCTCTAAACAAAAAAGAGTTCTGTTTCAAACACTATTTTGTCCAAAAAGAGCACCTTTTTTCATCAAACAAACCTGGTTTGGTGTAATTTTCCCAAAAAGAGTCACATTCAAATTGCCTATGATAAACTAACATATGAGTTAAATAAACATGCAGATTAGTTATTCAGAGCAGTTTTACCCTATGGACATTTAAAATATCTACATTGGCCAAACATGTCTTCTTTATCTCATTAAAAAATGTTGCACTCCCCTGTCCCATCATTTTTTCCTGTTTTCCTTTTCGGGATGTCCCAATATATCCTTCTGGAATTCTTCTAAGGGAAATTCTGTGTGGTTCATATTGTCTTTCTCCTCTGCATAAGCCTCAACGAGACAGGGGGAGTCCTACGTATGGGGAATTACTTCAATTTACTCTTACCCTTTCTTTCAGGAACATAGGATGCGCTTGGGACAGAAGGCCATATTTCACCTTGAAGGTACTTCTTGCACATCTCCTTGTAAATTGATCATTTCTTACCCTTGCTAGGGCCTAGGTGTGTCTTAACTTTTCTCCATATTCCTGTTTTTTTAAAATTAAAGAATCTTACATCTGCGGTGTATATATATTGCAGCTTTTGTGGCCAAATTTATGAGCATATATAAAAACTTCCTCATTGCAACCTTTGGGTGAAGATGAACATTGTTGAGGCCTGCAAATTTCTTTACCTTGTAGTTGGGAGTTGGGTCTCTTTTGTGAAAGATGATGATGCTGGTACCCAAATTGCTTTTATCTCTTTGTTTTTGGGCAAGTACAAAGTAAATTGGGAGCACCATGTTGCCAATTAAATACCCAATTTGCCCCTATGTTGCAACTTTTTGTGGACTAGCATCATTAAACACAATGTACTTGTGGAGTAAGGATGCTTTAAGTATTGGTGTAGAATTTTTTTATTTTGTTAATTATTACTCCCTCCATCCTAAAAAAATTTTCCAAGTTACTATTCATACGTTTAATCACTTTCCTTATTTTTTTAAATATTTGATAAAATAATATAGTAATGCCTCCTCTTATTTTGTACTTCCTCCGTCTCCCTGCATTTGTCCACTTTCATTTTTGCACACCATCCAATGCACTTCTTTAATCCATTTTATTTTGTAATTTGTATATTAAACAAGATCACACATGACTATATTTAGGCTTACACATTGAGAAAATTTGATGAGTCAAAGTGCATAGATGAACAGTTCCAAAAGTCAAATGTGGACAAATACAGGGGGACGGAGGGAGTATAATTTTTGTTGTAGTTTTTATATATACAAATTATATTTTTTTAAGGCAAAATTCACAAGAACACTCTCAGAAATTAGAGATTTTGCATAAATACTCCCAAATTTGTTTATTTACACCATTACTCCCACATTTCTCTTTTATTTACATCGTTACTCCGCGATTGCTTCATCATAAGTGTTTCTCGGGTGCCTCTTTTTATACGGGGTTTTTCATCTTTTTTTTATTGAATTCAAATTAAATTAATATGAACAGACTTGATATTAAACATTAAAAAGATTTAAGAAGTTTGAAATCTCAATTTTTTTAAAGTGATGGGAAATAAGGGCAATAATTAGGCTTACTAAGACGTGAGAAAGACGATAGAGAGAATAAGTTGAAATGTATTTAGTATATTAGAGTGGAAAAAATACATGTCTGTATTTTAACCGTTCACTTAACGCAAAAATGACACATTCAAGTAACACTAATGATCACTACCAAATTTGGGAGTAACAACGTAAATAAAAGAGAAATGTGGGAGTAATGATGTGAATAAACAAATTTGGGAGTATTTATGAAAAATCTGTGATTTCTAGGAATATTCTTGTCAATTTTGCCTTTTTTTAATTTTACACCTACAATCAAATAAGTTTATTTGAAAATAAAATTGTTCAAACATCATAAACCGAAATGGGAAGAAAGTTTAAGGATGGATGAAGTATTTAGAATAAAATACTCTGTACTTTCCTTGGGAAGAAGCGTAGGGTGACTTGTTTGTCACTATGCCCACATGCTTCGACGTGTAGTTTAATTGTATTTGATCTTTTAAATAAATGTCAACTACAAAAATATTAATTTGTTAAAAAGTGTTTCAATTTAGATGTTCCAAAATTAATGATAATTTTGGGACAAAGGGAGTAAGTTCCAATTCTTTTCACTTTATGTTTGATTGGACTTCGGTGATTGGAGTCTGAAGTGCAGTATGTAACAGTTAAATTAAATCAAAATTAAAATATACTTGCTCTGGCTGAGGGTATTTATCTAGTTTAGACATTTCATAGCTAATTTGAATCAATATTTTATCTGTAATTAAATAAAAATTAAATTGTACTCCTTCCGTCCTAAATTATTTGTCACATATGCTTTTTCAACCGTTGCGGAAATTTTTGTTTATTTCTACGTTTTCATTGGTTATTTGATAAAATAAAATATTCTTGACACCTCTTATTTCGAAGAACTTTTCATGTGGTTTTTTGATATGTAATTTTTATTTTTTTACCAATATGTAAATAAAATGAATTGAAAAAACTTGATATTTTGCTTCAGTAATAGAAATGTGACAAATAATTTGGGACGGAGGGACTATTTGAATTTGAAAAAATAATGCTCCGTATTTTATAACATAAATCAAATAAATATATTAGGAATTTTAATTGCAAAATGTTAAAGTTCATATATTCCTGAAGGGAGGTAATACAAAAGTATAATATGGGCCTTATTGGGTTTGAAACGAAAATTTTCGGCCGCCATAAGGGTTTTCAATCTGAGTCCAAAATAGGGAGAGACTTATGAAGTAAAATGATTTTTTTTCTAAAATTTATTTTATTTGAACCTTAAAGTAGTAACTATGCATTTTAGGGATAAAAAAACTGTGCATTTTGTTTGGGGATGGATGAAGCATTATCATTTTAAATTTTTGCAATAATTTAAATTAATCTATAAAATGTTAAAATGAAAAAAGTATCCTTAAATAGGAGTTTCAAGAGATTACTACGGAGTAAACGCTTACAAGCAATAGGCTCTGCTCGACATTATATTTTACATTTTGAAAAAAAACTTACGGAGTATTAATTGTTAATTTTGAACTTGACATTTTCAAAGTTAATTTGTGCTACTAAAAAATACTCCAAAACATCACCGCTAACTTGCTACAAAACATTTTCGTTCCAAATGAAAGCCAAAGGTTTCGTTTAGAAACATCGCTTAACCAACGTTAACATTTTTTTAGCAAATTTTTAGTGATAGACATCAAACTCAAAAATATTAATGTAAAAAATATGACCATATAAAATGTACGAAACATAAAATTAATGTAAAATGAAGTCAAATCTAAACAATGGCTTGGCATGAGAGTACATTGGGTCATTTAGACAATCGGACTTTATTCAAAATGCTAAAACTAATGATATGTAAGGGCTAGCGATATATACTAATTCACATGTTCAAGCTGAAGGCTAGAATTTCTTGTGGTCGGACTGAAATGTGGTGGCTGGCTAGTATACAAAGTGTTTTTTGTAGGTGGGTATAACTCAACTGGCTGAGCAATGAGAGCAAAAAAGGGTAATACCCGTAACAACTCCCTTGTGGGAACTATACTAAATATAGTAACTCTAACGCCCCGAAACCTGGCCTATCAGAATTAATTAGTTAGGAATAATTTATTAATTATTGAGACGGACTCGGTGGAAATTATATATATATCTTTCATTTGTAAGTAAAGATTATACCGTTGTGTAGGATTCGACGGATCGAATCTAACGGTGAAATCGGATTTGGATTTGGAGTCAGTGGGCCTGGAAAAGTGCGTTTCGGCCAGGTACGTTTAGTTAATACGGAGCCTAAAACTCCAAAAGTATAAATACACTCCTTACACGCCCCGAACCCCTACGCCTCACCATACTTACGTAACTTCCTCCCCACTCTCTCACGTCTCTCTCTCTCTCTCTCGCGCGTTTCATCACTGCCGAACAGAACAGAGCAGCAAGTCAGCCGCAGGAAGAAGGAGAAGAAGAGAAGAAGAGAAGGAAGAAGGAAGAATCCGACGCCGTTGTTCGTGAGTACCATCTCGTAGCTTTTAATCGTCGATTTCGAGGTGAGTACGTGGTCATCTAACATATGGTTATATTCGTAGGTTTGAATCTTACGTTCGTAGAATCGTTACGGTTGATCTATTTGGACCTTACGTGAATTATGTCTTGTTTGCGTAGATATTGGGGAATGGTTAGATATTGTTAGATTGATGGTGTATGATGAGTTATACTTGTATTGACTGGAACTGAAGCTGTTTGATGGACGAAAACAGTACCTAACTACCGCCAGCCTTCCGGGTTTCGTCTCTCTCTGTCGGTACCTGACTTAGGACGGGACCCAGGTACCGTATGGACGGTGGGCTCTACCGTCTGACCGGTAGAGGCTACCGTGACGGGCTACCGGAAGGGACCCCAGCTGACACGGTCGGTACCCCCGTACCGTGGGGATGGTACTGTAACGCCCCAAAACATACCCTAGAATTATTAATGAATTATTAATTAATTAATCAAATTTGTTTTGATTAAAAATAAATTGTTGTTGGGCCTTGGGCCAAAATAAAATATGTTTTGATATCCAATATCATGATCCGGATAAATCTCATAGAGATTAATCCAATATGTTGACTTACTGTGTGACCTTGATTGGGAACCTGAGTACAGACCCAAATCAAGGATAAATTAAGAAATTTATTTATGATATGAACTTTGAAATGATTTATTGAAATAAATCATGAGAAAAAATAATATGAATGAAATGTAAGAACCTTTTTGAGTAAAGGTCAATTAAATCAATTTTGACTCTGTCAAAGTCAAACACCCAAAAATATGATGTCGGAAAAAGTATTACAAATAAATATAAAAATTATATCGTTGGATAGAGTTTAAATATACGATCACAACGATGCAAACGGATTTCAATTCGGAGAAAGTTAGACCAAAAAGTGTTCCCCGACTGAGACCAAATTAGTCCTAATCAGGGACTTGCGTTTGGAATCGTGGATATCGCAGCCCACTCCACTAGCCGCTCTAACAGGGAAGGTGACGCAGTGAATTTCATCTTCTTCCTCCAAACTCTCCTATATAAGAGGAACAATTCTCTCCCATTTCTTCACCATTTTCCTTCAAATAAACTCTGAGAGAAAGCTGTGAGTATGGAGAACGAAGTTGTGCTATTAGTTTGGTGTGAAGTCACCGGAGCAAGTTACAATCCTCGCCGGAAGTTTCGCCGGAAAATTCTCAAAACCTTCGATAAGCTTCGAGGTAAGCCCCTAGATATATCTAATGACTAGAATGTTCATATAGGTCGTTTCTACGTTCATAAATGGTCATTTGGTTGAGTTTTGTGTTTGACATGTTTGAAGAACCAAGAATCATAAACCTTGAATTTGATATTAAAAATATGTTTTAATAATTCTAATATGATCTTTGAACCTTGGGGAACATCTCTATATAGTTTAATTGAAGTTCGGTGACTAAAAATGGTTTTCCCGAAAAATGGACCGAGGTTGAAGACGAATGAACAGTGGCTGAAAATCCACAGAGTGGATCGATCCCCTTCATTGGATCGATCCTCTGGGAGTTTTTCTTCTAGTTGGATCGATCTAGAAGGCTGGATCGATCTTCCGAAACTCTGATCCGAAAATTTGTCTGAAATTGCTATTTTTGAGCTCTAAAATCCTATTTTTGATACCAATTGATTATGATTATTATAAAAATGATTTTTCATAACAAAAATGATGTTTTTAACAAATTAAAACATTATGTGATGCATGACGGTAAGTTCGGGTATAAACACTCGAGACTAGGCCTCTAATTGTTATTAAATGTTATGTTGAATGATCATTATGATGAACTATGATTGTGGCCAATTATGAATTATTAACCTACTGATTGGTATGATTATTGATTAAATCATGATTAAAAATGGATATAATGATGATTATGAAAATGATGTATATTGTTAAGGATATCTAGAAGAACTCTAAGATATACCCACTTGTATAATGATGATGATTATTAAGGATATCTAGAAGAACTTTAAGATATACCCACTTGTATAATGATGATGATTATTAAGGATATCTAGAAGAACTCTAAGATATACCTCCTTGACCAATTCATATTTCGGGGTTAAAACGTACGTACGGGATCCAGAACGGATATCACCCACCCGACAGTTCACTGTTCGGTTGGTACGTAATCCACATGACTCATAGGGTGGATTATCGATTCTTGTGTTCTGCATTAAACTATTTATAGTTTAAGGGCCTGGTTAGAA